CAAGTAATGCATTTTTCTTTTCTGGGTTTTTCCTTCCATTCCTAAGAAACATTGGTTAAAGCAGAATAACAGTAAGTTTATTTAATGTGTTAAGAAATATTTGAGTGGTTGTGTGGCTTTAAAAAAAGGATTACTAATATATATAACTAAAATACTTGTAATATATACACTTTATGTTTAACATTAAAATTGGAGCTTAATTTTAAATGCTTTTGGTAAAAAATATTGATCCCCATTGATATAAGGGATGGAAAATCAAACAATGTTATAGCTAGTTTTAGTGGAGATATGAACAATGAATACATTTTCTTTTACTTGAGATTTAATTTCATGATGTTTTCTATAAAAATGATACATTCTAATAAAGCCTAGAATATTAATATTTGCTTTAAATTATGACAATGAATGAGAGGAGTGATGGTATTTGTTATAAGTACTGTAACATTTCTGTACCTATAATTCAAAATATTCATAACTTTATCTAATTTTAAATAATTAAACTTGCTTCTCCCTCCTCCCTAGTCAATCATAGCTGTCCTGATGATCAGTTTAAATGCCAGAATAATCGCTGCATCCCCAAAAGATGGCTTTGTGATGGAGCTAATGACTGTGGGAGCAATGAAGATGAATCAAATCAAACTTGCACAGGTAAAGGTTTGCTTAGGTATACATAAATCTTCTCCAAAGTTTGTTTCCATAAGAATGCAGGTCAGTGCTTTGAACTAAGCTGAACTTTCCTAGAGCTGATGATCTGATTATTGCAGTAGTAAATGAATTCAGCAGTTTGATGCCACAAGGGCTAGAATACAAATTATCTTTTACTTAATCCTTGAGCATGATGCTGCTTTCCAAACTAATTTGGCACTTCATCTATCCATATGGGTTGACTGTCACCACACTACTTGTACAAGACTTGTCCTTGCTGAATCTTACTTGGCAGTGGAAGCTGAAGTTTGTTAGCACTCTGTGATAGGCCATCTCACAAGGTAGTCTATACATTTTTACCTTAAAGGTATATAAATCTTATTTAGTCTACTATAAAATATTTTTGTGAATATTTTCTGCTCGTGGAACATTATTTACATGAGGTAGGTTGTTTTTTTTTCTTTCCCATAAAATCCCAAGACCACTAGTCTATTTATATTTCCAGATAATCAACCCTATTGTAACAAATCTCTGAATCCATAGCCAGATACTCACTGAATGGAAAGATATAGTTTGTGGTACAGATGACAACAGAATGGTAGAAAGGTCATTACTGGTCAGATAAATGTGGAAAAAATGATACTGACTAGCAGCAGTCTAGTGCTTTTCTTTAAATAATGAAGAAAAAAGCAGTCCATTTGATGACTCATGCTGATATGATCAGTAAAAACTGATTTTAAAAAAACCATTACATATAGAAGCATGAAAGCTTATCAACCACACCACCAACTCTTTCTGTCTTTATCAAAGTGAGCCTTACTAAATAAAAATTATTATAAAGGATTAGTGAATACTATAGAGGAGCATCTGGAGAAAATATACAGGGGTCAAGAAAATTGGTTTCTACTCTTGATTTTGCCACTGAATTTCTCTTAGAGTGACTTGTACCTCTCTACACCTCAATTTCCTCATGCATTTTTTTCAGCACAGTAAGATTATGAATTTACTAGAAATTACTTCCAAAGACATTTTCACTACATAAAAACAGCAATGGCAAGAGAAGAAAAGTTACCATTTGATAACTGTAACATAAATCTTAAGTTCTGCTTTTCTATAGTGACATATTTGTTGACTATCTATAGGCAGTTATTCTTTTGTCTCATGATTAAAAACTTCATCCAAGGGTGGCTCCTGTGGCTCAAAGGAGTAGGGTGCCAGCCCCATATACCAGAGGTGGCGGGTTCAAACCCAGCCCTGGCCAAAAATTGCAAAAAAGAAAAAAAAAAAAACTTCATCTAATATTTTATGAATATTTTTTTAAGTTTTAAGTTTTTTTCTTTGTGTGTGTGTGTGTGTGTGTCCCATAAAGTTGTTTTACAAAAGACTTTATAAGAGAAAGGAAGCTTTAGGAACCATCTGGTCCCAGATCCAACCTTAATCTAGTATTTATAGATGGGGTATGAGAAAGGGGACTTGCCTAAGCTTACATCATTGGTAAGAATGTAGGGGAATCTCAACACATTAGCTTTGTCTTTAAGGCTATTGCTGTTTATGCCAAACTACATGATCCTGCTAGAATTTAAGGTATGGTCAACTGAATTTTACTCAAGTTGCTCCTACAATATCACTATAATTTATAATGAAGCATTTTTAAGTGGGTGTAATTATTTTACTTCTAAGGTTAAGATTCATTTCAAAGATTATGCTTCATTTTGTACTAAATAAATGCATCTACTTTCATCTTAATGCAAAAGGAAGAGAAAAAAAGCATTGTTGATTTGATTCATATTACTTCTTCATTTCTACTAGATTTTAAAACTCTACATGTTTCTACCAGATTTTTATAGAAGCATTTATGATTGGCCAGGTACTTATAGTAGTAAAACTGGAAATGCTCAAGTATAAGAACACATACAACAATCTTAATTAGTAAGATTTCTAAGATATTTGAGTCCTGCAGTCCACTAAGAAATACACATAGAACGTAGCTTGCTTCAATGACACTTTAAGTGATTTCAGCTTAAGTCTGACACTCAGCACTAGATCTTTTTGTTAGTATACTTATGATAGCTATTATGGTCATGGAACATTTTAAGAACTTGAATAAAAAGGAAAAAGAGAAAATAAACATGTTTTTTAGCTTTGAAAACTATAAAGTGTATAGTCATATTCCAATGTACTTCCATTTCATTTTATTAAAACATATAATAAGGTCACAGAGTTTACCAAACCCATGGAAACCATGTTCTGTATTGGTTCATAGAGACCAATTTTCCTGGATGGATCATTTCTATCCATTCCTCAATAGGTGTATACATGGGCATAAATCCTAGATAAAGTCTTTCTGATGGGGACTTATTTTGTAATTGAATCCACTGTTCTGGAGCAATCAGCATTGTGACCATTCTATATCTAAAAGACAAATTTTTTTATGAGAAGTCAATTTTCTATTTAGTTCCTTTGGGATTTCTCTCTCATGAATCTATTGATTAATTAATTATGAACCAAAGTACTACTGAAAGAATGAAGGAAAATACACAATACCTTTCCTTAAGAAGCTTAAAAGTGAAGAGTAGGAGAAAGATTTGTAAACAACCTATTGGAATGCCATATTCAAGAACTAAATTTACCCACATGGGAACACATAGAAACTGTATAGAACTTAATCTCAGCTATCTAGGAAGACTACTTTAAGGAGGAAAATTCCTAGCTAAGCCTTATAAAAAGCTTAAGAAAAATTCTTTTTGACTAGATACGGCAAAGAAAAAAAATGGTATCATAATTTCTGGGGACCACCTCTCCATTGATAGAGCTGGACAACCACTGAAGCAGATAATCATGAGACTCTAGACTGGATGCAATGGCTCATGCCTGTGATCCTAGCACTCTTGGAGGCTGAAGCAGAAAGATCCCTTGAGTTCATAAGTTTGAGACCACCCTGAGCAAGAGAAAGATCTCATCTCTACTAAAAATGGAAAAATCAGTTGGGTGTTGTGGTGGGTAGTCCCAGCTACTCAAGAGGCTAAGTCAGGAAGATGGTTTGAACCCAGGAGTTTGAGGTTGCTAGAGGTAGGCTGATGCCATAGATGTCTAGCCTGAGCAAGAGAGAAATATTTTATTCCCCCAAAATAAAAATTTTTTAAAAATGAAACTTTAGAACAAATCAACCTAACAGACATTTCCAGAACATTCAACCCCAAAACTATTGAATATACACTCTACTCTTCAGCACATGGGACCTTATTCAAGACTGAACATATCTTAAGCCACAAAACAAGTCTCAACAACTTCAAAACCATAGGGATGATGCTATGTATCTTCTCAGACAACAGTGGAATAAAACTGGAAATCAATTCCAAGAGAAACACTTGCATAGACAGAGTTGCAGAATTCAAACAACCTACCACTGAATGATCCTTGGATCCATGAGGAAATTAAGATGTAAATCAAAAGATTTGTTCAACTAAACAACAAAGGACACAAGCTATCAAAATCTATGGGGTATAGATAGTAAAATAAGTACTAAGGTGAAAGTTCATAGACTTCAATACCTACATCAAAAAATCAGAAAGATCAAAAATTCACAACCTAACTTTATAATCTCAAAGAATGAGAAAAAGAAAAGCAAACCAGACCTAATGCCAGCAAAAGGAAAAAAACAAATAACAAAAACAAAAATCAGAGAACTAAATAAAATGGAAATCAAAATAAAACAACAAAAACAAAAAATACACCAAGTCACCAAGTTAAAAATCTGGTTAAAAATTGATAGCCCACTAGCACATTAACTGGAGTAGAAGAGAAATAATTCAATTAAG